TGACTGGCAGATGCTCTCCAGGGTTTCAGGCAGGCGGCGTTCCCAGCCCTAGCTGGTTTTAACCTTTAAAGCCCTATACGGCCTTGGACCCTCGTACCTACGGGACCGCCTCTCCTGGTATGTCCCACGGAGGACCTTGCGGTCCTTAAACAAAAAGATCTTGAAAGTCCCAGGCCACAGAGAGGTTAGGCTGGCCTCAACTAGAGCCAGGGCTTTCTCGGCTGTGGCCCCGATCTGGTGGAACGCTCTGTCCCAAGAGACCAGGGCCCTGCGGGACTTGACATCTTTCCACAGGGCCTGCAAGACGGAGCTGTTCCACCAGGCCTTTGGCCAGGGCACAGCCTGCCTCCCTCCTTTGGCAATCTTCACAGAACTTTAGCCCAATGGTTGCCATCAATTTGATTTGAATTAATGTTATAATGAAATGGTTTTAGAATGTTGTACTATTTTATTGTGGTTAGCCGAGCCGCCCTGAGCCCGGCTTCAGCTAAGGGGGGCGGGATATAAATAAAATTTATTATTATTATTATTATTGACAACAATGTGGAGAGGTCCCTAAGAAAATATAAAAGGTGCAGTCTATCCGACAGCCGCAGGAATCTGCCTCCTCATTCTGCTGCATCTCTATAAACCAGATCTAAGCTCATAAAAGCGAGGTATGTTAAATGCCTTTCTGAGTGCCTGCCCATATCTGAAGAATGTCCTTATCTCTTGAAACTCGAGTAACAAGAAATTCCAAAAAGGTTGGAAGAAAAAAGCCTGTTAGCAGCCAGAGTAAGCAGGCAGAAGAGAAGCTTTATATATTTTAGAATATATTTCTTGATTTCATGTTTATTTATTTTTTTTAAAAAAGGAAGACTATGGTTATTCTGTCCAGAGAGGATTTGGGGTTCAGCGCCCCACACCCCGTGCTCAGTGCCAGGCTGTTAATGGAAAGACGGAACAAATAATGGTCTTTGCAGTCCCAATTTCTGCAACGGAGTCTCAGAGAGAAATGGATGGAGCTATCTCAGCCCAAGGTCGAAAGGTGAACCAGTGGCAGAGAGCCCAGGCCTCATAACTAAGCAAGGGTCTCCGGCAATTTCTGCAATAAGTGCCTTAATGATTAAAGATAACCTTTGTTTTTTTTCCCAAGCTGACACAGCTGTGACTTGGCGATATCTGGTTTTCATAACTCTCCCCGTCTCCCAGGTAAGAGTTGGCAGAGATCAGGCTCCCAGGAAAGGAAAGGGGTGCGGCGGCAGGATCTGTGGGCTCTGGGTGGATGCCAAGACTTGATGGACGCAGGAGGGGCATGAAACGCACACAGAGGGGCCCCCCAGGCAACCAGAATGGCCCAATCGAAACCTTGATCGGCGGTCTCCCTGGATCAACATTAATGAGGATGAGTTTGCTACCAAACGAGGGAGGAGCTGCAGATGGCATGAACTCTTCCCTGGCAAAAGGGGGGGGGTGAGAAGCACTCTGCACATGCTCAGAGGCACCTACCACCCCCGCTACCCACATTTCAGAGGCTTCCACTGGCCCAACTCGATCTACCTGCCCAAGATCCAAGAGATTCAGGCTCACGGGAGGGCATAGATGAAGCAACAACGCAAGTGTTTTATGGGCGCGGGTGAAAGATCGGTTCGGTGATAGCAAGCAGAGATTTACACACGTTGAAGAGAATTAAAGGTACCCCTGCCCGTACGGGCCAGTCTTGACAGACTCTAGGGTTGTGCGCCCATCTCACTCAAGAGGCCGAGGGCCAGCGCTGTCCGGAGACACTTCCGGGTCACGTGGCCAGCGTGACAAAGCTGCATCTGGCGAGCCAGCGCAGCACACGGAAACGCCGTTTACCTTCCCGCCAGTAAGCGGTCCCTATTTATCTACTTGCACCCGGGGGTGCTTTCGAACTGCTAGGTTGGCAGGCGCTGGGACCGAGCAACGGGAGCGCACCCCGCCACGGGGATTCGAACCGCCGACCTTTCGATCGGCAAGCCCTAGGCGCTGAGGCTTTTACCCACAGCGCCACCCGCGTCCCCTAAGAGACGAAGAGAATTACCCAGTGGCAAAAACCCAACTGAGAAAGAGGCAGAAGACTCTTGTCCATATTCAAACGGACTCTTTATTTATTCCACACTCACCCGCCCCCTGGGCATGCACAAAGTGTTTCCCTGCACCACCCGAGCCTCACCTATGAACGCGAAAGAATCAGGGCTTAACGGGAGCCAAGCAACGGTCCTTAGCATCTTGCCACCACCGGAGAAATGAAGCAATCAGCTAGCAGGTGGGGGCAGCCTCTGAGCATACACAGAGTGGCAACCCTGCACCAGAGGACGCCCAAACAGATACCTTTTGGGGATGGGCAACACACACAGAAAGGAGATTCCAGCCAAGGATGGAGAAGCTCATTCATTCTCCCCCAAGTACAAGAGACATGGGTTTACATTAGCAGGGCACACAGTGAGGACTAGTTGCATGCCATGTGTGTTGGGCAGGCCCAAGATATTTTGGCACCCAAGGCAAAGTGCAAAATGATGTCCCCTTCCCGCCAGGGAAGAAGGGGTGAGTGAAGATCTACGTCAGGAACGGGGGGGGGGGGTAAAGACCTACATCTGCTGCCTGAGGTGGTTGTTTCACCTTGGCTTATGGGTGGGCTGGACCTCTTGGGGGGGAATGTAGGGAGAAAAGCAATGCTGCCAGAGGCCCTTGGCAGCATCCCGTCTTGTAATCCCCAAGTAAGGGACCCCTGACCATTAGGTCCAGTCGTGGCCGACTCTGGGGTTCCGGCGCTCATCTCGCTTTATTGGCCGAGGGAACCGGTGTACAGCTTCTGGGTCATGTGGCCAGCATGACTAAGCCGCTTCTGGCGAACCAGAGCAGCGCATGGAAACGCCGTTTACCTTCCCGCCGGAGCAGTACCTATTTATCTACTTGCACTTTGAGGTGCTTTCGAACCGCTAGGTTGGCAGGAGCAGGGACCGAGCAACGGGAGCTCACCCCGTCATCGCGGGGATTCGAACCACCGACCTTCTGATCGGCAAGCCCTAGGCTCTGTGGTTTAACCCACAGCGCCACCTGCGTCCCCAAGTACAGGGTGCTTAATCCCACCCCAGCTTTTCTCCCGTAGACGCGAGTGCCGGCAAGGGTGCCCCTGAACATGCGCAGAGTGCATCCTCTCTGTTTCGCCGCCGAGTGGCTACAGCCAGAAGGTACATTTAGGGGGCGGGGCTCCAAGTCCAGGGCTAGACCCTTCCTAGACCTCAGCCGCCACAGAGGGGAGGGAAACCTCAGACAGGTCCATCGCGCAAACGTTTCCACCTGACCCGTAAAGGGTGCCAGGCCACAAAGGTGCGGTGTGTGTGTGTGAGAGAGAGACAGGTGACTACTAGCAGTTGCCCCCCCCCCGCACCATACAAATTGACTTAAATCCACCCCCAAAAAATCCCATTTGTTGATAAATTGGCCTGCTAAAAATTCCACAAGGACTTATTTAAAAAAGGATAGCTTTAAATGTATGCCCTTCTCTCTTGGGTTCCACATCCCTAAGCATAATGTCTACATCAGTTCACAAAGCTCCCTGTGTTTTCTCTCGTTCTTCCCTCCAGCTGCTAAAATTCCAAAGTACATAGGTGGGAGTGGGGGGGGGCAAGGGAAATATGCAATTCTGCCCCCCCCCAGCTGCTCCGCTGCCACCCAGTATTTCTGCATCTTCCTATCATGTCTTGAAAAGGACTGACTCCTTTTGTGCAAGCGAACCTAATCCCAGTAGGATTGTTCGGGGGGGGGGTATTGGTTGGAGGGGGGAGGGCACCCTAGCCATAATCTGTAGCTTGTAGCGGTGGGCCCCCACCCCAAAGAAACCCGCAGATTGAGACAATAGAAGATGCCCACCCCAATCGTTCTCAGCCGGTTTAGTATTCTGGATCGGATTCCGTTCCATCAGCTTCAAAGCACTCAGGGAGGGTGGATTTCAAAGTCTAGTGCCCTTAGGAAAAAAAAAGAGCCCCCCCTTCAAAAGGAGCGGGGGGAGAAGCTCCCCCGGCTCCTCTACCCCCAATTGTGTAGCTGGCAGGAGGGATGCGATGATCGCACACAAACACAAGTCCCGGCCAAAAACAGCAACACACCCCTATTCATTTCCACACAGCCACCCTTTGGGTTTTGCAATTCACATTTCTGGAGAGGTTTCCCCACCCCCACCCCCAGAATCTGATATAAAAAGAAAGAAATATAACAACAGCAACATTCTGCTCCCCCCCCCCATTTTTGTGCAGAATAAGAAACCCATCTCCTGCTTGTTAAAAATCTATCCTGTCTCCTAGCTAGAGGATTAGGAAGCAATTCTTAGCCACCACCTCCAACAAGGCTGAAATACCCTATATGACCCTTTTCAAGGTGTTCAAACCCCCCCCATGCCAAACACACACACACACACACACACACACACACACCTGGCTATTGAAAAATAGCTGGTACCAAAAAGCTCCGTGGGAAAATCAGAGAAGTGCCCAGAAATAAGGATGTAATATTATTTAAACATAACCAATAATATGGGGGGGGGGAGGATCTGCAGAGATTTTTGTGGACTGATATTTATATATTAAAAAGAGTGTCTCCTTTAAAACACACACACACACACACACACACACACACACACACACACAAAACCAGCCCAAAGGAAGGAACACACAGCCTTCCAAATCTGAAATCGACCGCACAAAGAGGCGAAACTGACCGATCGTAAAACACCCCGCTCTCCCTATACGATTGCACTGATGTCTCTCCTTTTTTTTTTAAGTTTCCCCAATTTTGTTCTTTCCTTCCCTCCCTCCCAACCACCACCACGTACCCCCATACTCAGAGCACCGACAAAGTTTCCCGGCGTTTAAAATAAATAAATAGATTTTATTTGCTCGAGAGGAGGGGCATTCGAAACGAACACCGGCCGTCGCCGTTTAATAAAAAGTGGCTGCAGATTTATAAAAATGCCAACAAAACGTGCCTTTTTCCCTTACCTTGGATTCGCCTTGCGTCTCCCACCGAGTCTGGAATCGTTGTGTCTCTGTGCCTCTCTCTTTTTGCTGCAGTTCTTGCTAAAAACTCTCCAAGGCTCTCTTAAGCCTATTGAGTGGAGGGGAAGGAGGGTGGGGGGCAAGGACTCCTCCTTCTCCTCTCCCCCCTTTTTTTACACCTGTCCCTGCCTCGCATTCAGTTCAACTGCCATCGTTGGCTACGAAGGGTCCGAACGACACAATATATATACGGTAGCTAGCCGGGGACATGGAGAAAGACATGGGGGTGCCGCTGGGGGAGAAAAAGACACCCCCCTCCTCAGAAACTCTACACCAGCTGGGTTACAATGCAGTTCAAAAGGGGTAGCACCTTTTGTGAATATTCGTTGGGGGGGCGTTGCTCAGAGAGGCAGCTGCTGGAAAAAAGAGGATTTCAAGAAGGGATGCTGGTGCCTCCAGCACCTTCTCAGCTGTTGGATTTTTCTCGTCTTCCTTTGGAAAATGAGAGGAGGGGGTCAGCGGCAGGCAGGGATAGCTGCAAATAAGGTTGCAGGTGTGTGCTGTGAAGGGGGGCGGGGGTCTCGCTGCCAGTCCTCCAGGCTCCGCTTCTGTTCTTGGCTTCGGGGGGAAGAGAGAAAGCAAAACGCCAGCATTGACACTGCAAGCTCTGGCTGGTACTGCAGTTATCAACACTCAACTAGCTGAGGCCGGGAGGAAAAACAGAGATGGATTCGCTCGGCAAAGGAACCGGATCCCCCGATGGCCGAAGAATGGCAGATGAAGATGATGGACTTGATGGAGCTGGCTGGTGTCACCGGGAGAATCCGCGACCAGAAAGAAGAGGAATATCGAGAAGACTGGGAGAAATTTAAAGACTGTTTGAATAAATATTGTAATGTTAAGGATTTGTAACCACTTGAAAGAACTAATTAGGCCTAGGATTAAATTAGGATTAAATACAGTGGTACCTCAGGTTACATACGCTTCAGGTTACGGACTCCGCTAACCCAGAAATAGTGCTTCAGGTTAAGAACTTTGCTTCAGGATGAGAACAGAAATTGTGCTCCGGTGGCGTGGCGGCAGCAGGAGGCCCCATTAGCTAAAGTGGTGCTTCAGGTTAAGAACAGTTTCGGGTCAAGTACAGACCTCCGGAACGAATTAAGTACTTAACCTGAGGTACCACTGTAAATAAATAAGGAAAAGTATGATAAGAAAAGTTAGGAAATTTGATTATTGTTATATGGAATAATGATGTTGGAAACTGCTACATTTAATTACGAGGAAACTCAGTTGGAAGAGATTAGAGGAAGTCAAGTAATATGTTTGTGAAGTTGGATTTTAATTAATTAACTAAGTCTTATTGTAGGTGGTGGTATATGTAAGGTGTGAAATACTTTATTTCTTTTACTTTCTTTTTACTTTTATTCTTGTTTTTTTCTATTTCTGTTATGTTAAAGTTATGTTTTTGTATGAAATTTAATAAACATTATTGGGGGGGGGGAGGAACCGAATCCCGAAGCCTCTTCAGCAAGCAGCAGTGCCAGCCGAGGCAGGTCTACTCGGAAGTCGAGGCGGAGGAGAGATTCGGTTCGGTTCACGTCGGAAGGAGAATCTACCCAGTTTGTGCTCTCCGAAACGACCGGCGACCTGAAAGCGGAGCTATCCATTGGGACTATCTGTCTGAATTTTGCATTGCAATGCTCCTCACTGAACCATGTGTCTCATCGCCCCCCCCCCAGCAAAAAAAGAGGCATGCACCTTGGTTAAGTGTGCATGGCGAGAACGAGAAGCACAAAAACGCATTGTATTCGGGGGAGAGTGCTTTGCAAAAATGTGCATGTCGGGGGGGAAAGGCATACAAAATTCGCATGGAAACTTGTAGTTTAACAGTGAATTTTGGATTTAATGGAGATGTAAAAGATATGAAGGACACAGGTGGCGCTGTGGGTTAAACCACAGAGCCTAGGACTTGCTGATCAGAACGTCGGCGGTTCGAATCCCTGCAATGGGGTGAGCTCCTGTTGCTCAGTCCCTGCTCCTGCCAACCTGGCAGTTCGAAAGCACGTCAAAGTGCAAGTAGATAAATAGGTACCGCTCCGGCGGGAAGGTAAACGGGGTTTCCGTGCGCTGCTCAGAAGCGGCTTAGTCACGGTGGCCACATGACCCGGAAGCTGTACGCCGGCTCCCTCGGCCAATAAAGCGAGATGAACGCCGCAACAGCAGAGTCAGTCACAACTGGACCTAATGGTCAGGGGTCCCTTTACCCCTTTACCTAAAAGATATGGATTATTAGAAAAGATGCAGGAGGGAATGGCTAACAATAGGACCCACAAAGGGGAGCAAGGAAGTCCAGGATATTCTTTGGAATCTTGTTTTTACATTTTTATGTTGGATACGTGATTGTAAAACTGTAATTTGAAAAACCAAATTTAAAAACCCTGATGGATTTTCTACTGGTGTGGAAATAAACTTAAGTGGGGAATGAGAAATGAAAATGGGCAGATTTACCCTGGGCCTGCTCTGAAGTAAGCTCCATTCAGTACAATGGGGCTTGCTCCCAGGGATGTGTGTACAGGGTTGCACCACCAGGAAGGTTTAAGCTCTTTCTATGTGACATCTGGAATGCGGGTGGCGCTGTGGGTTAAACCACAGAGCCTAGGACTTGCTGATCAGAAGGTCGGCGGTTCGAATCCCCGCAACGGGGTGAACTCCCGTTGCTCGGTCCCTGCTCCTGCCAACCTATCAGTTCAAAAGCAGTGCAAGTAGATAAATAGGTACCACTCTGGCAGGAAGGTAAACGGTGTTTCCGTGCGCTGCTCTGGTTCACCAGAAGTGGCTTAGTCCTGCTGGCCACATGACCCGGAAGCTGTACGCCGGCTCCCTCGGCCAATAAAGCGAGATGAGCGCCGCAACCCCAGAGTCGTTGACGACTGGACCTAATGGTCAGGGGTCCCTTTACCTATGTGACATCCAGTTACTCTCCCTTTCTCTCACAAACAAGCACATGCACTTCCTTCAAAGTAAGCATCATTGAACTCCGTGGCGTTTTCCTTTTGAGGAATTCCCAGGACGGGTGTTTGTCTGAAGAACAAGTGGCGTTGGGCTTGGAGATCTGCGTGCGGATTCTGAACTACAGGAGTGGCGAAGCCCTCCATCTGTTGGGGGCCACAAGAGGCAGGGGGTCTCTTTCCCTGCCTCCCCCTTCCCACCTTGCTTTGTACCCCTTGCCAAAGAGCTCTGCGGATTGGGCCCAGGATTCCCATTGTGCTCCAGCCCCAAATCAATTTGGGGAGTGGGGCTGATGTTTGGGGTTTTTAAAACCCTGGTTAAACACTGTCAGGAGGGAGAAGAAGCCCTGATCCCATCTCCATGTCTGAGATCAGGAGGTTTCGGTCCTGCAAGTGGGGTGCCCTTCCAGCCTTCCCACCCTGCGCCCCACCCCCTAGCTGCCCCCAATTGCTCCCAGTGGACTGACCCAAACTAGAGAGATCCGGATGCTTCCTTGACCTGACTCTGCCCAATCCTAGAACACCACACCCACCCAAGCAGCCTGATTTGGTTCAGAGTTCAGGCTTGCTTGCGGCAGAGGAGCACGCAAGGTCACTGATTCCTACTGCAAAAAGCCAGAGAGCTGTTATGTTCAAATAGCAAGAATAGGTTGGGCATTCGCCTGCAATCGCTAGATATGCTCTTGGAGGACTCTTAAGCTTGCCTTTCTTTTCCTAGCAACCTACGGGCCTGATCCAGCCAACCTCAGACCCTCCAAGCGTCCCTATTTTCCAGTGACAGTCCTGGATTTACAGAAGTCGTCCCAGTTTCTAATTTCATCTCTGAATGTCCTGCTTTTCATTGGGATGTCCCTATTTTCATTGGAGGGTATGGAGTGATCTGACCCCTGAGCCATCTGAAGGCAGCCCTGTATAGGGAAGGGTTTTTAAAAATATAATGTTTAATGTTTTATTATGTTTTTTATATATATTGGAAGCTGTCCAGAGTGGCTGGAGCAACCCAGTCAGATGGGTGGGGTATAATAATAATAATGGAATAGGACATCCCTATATTCATTGGAGAAAGACTGGAGGGCATGTCACCATGCCCTGGGCCCATTTCCCATTATGGTAAGGTAAAGGACCCCTGGACGGTTAGGTCCAGTCCAATGCGACTATGGTGTTGCGGCGCTCATCTCGCTTTCAGGCCGGGGGAGCCAGCGTTTGTCCGCAGACAGCTTTCCAGGTCATGTGGCCAGCAGGACATAGAAAGGACATAGAACCATAGCAGAGCTGGAAGGGACCCCAGAGGTCATCCAGCTCAAACCCCTGCAATGCAGGAATTAATACTATCTGGTTTTCATTCTATCGCAGCAGGACGATGAGGTTTAACATTGCCTTCCCACTGCCTGCCGTCACCAGATCAATCAACTAATGAGAAGCAGGAGGGTGAAGAATTGATCCTGATCACAGTACCGTGGTAGGCAAAGAGCTTTCAGTACCTCCATCCAGCCCAGAACCACCATCGGGATTCAGATCTGGGTGTGTGTGGATATGGCCTTGCCTCTAGGTATGCGGTCCCTGTGGTGTATGTCATGTGTCCTTGTGTATTGTGTATTGTGTATTGTGTTGTGCACGAGAGGTGTGCCTGGGGCGCCCTCTGGTGTGAGCATGGAGCGGTGTGTGCATGCTCTGTTGTGCGTTGGTTTTTATTTACCCAACAAGATTTATACACTGCTTGGTGGCAAGAGGGACCTCCACATGGTTTGCAGAAATTATGAGGGTTAAAATGACCTGTGGGAGTCAAAGTTATAAACGGGTATTAAATATATATATATGTCAAAATATAATAATAATAAAGAGTTAAGCTATGAATAGATTAAGACACGTGCCTGGATAGGCTCGCCTGAAAAAGAATATTTTTAGCGCCAGGCTAGGGTCAAGGGACGTGGGTGGCGCTGTGGGTTAAACCACAGAGCCTAGGACTTGCTGATCAGAAGGTTGGTGGTTCGAATCCATGCGACGGGGTGAGCTCCCATTGCTCAGTCCCTGCTCCTGCCAACCTAGCAGTTCGAAAGCACATCAAAGTGCAAGTAGATAAATAGGTACCACTCTGGCGGGAAGGTAAACGGCGTTTCCGTGCGCTGCTCTGGTTCGCCAGAAGCGACTTAGTCATGCTGGCCACATGACCCGGAAGGTGTACGCTGGCTCCCTTGGCCAGTAAAGTGAGATGAACGCCGCAACCCCAGAGTCGTCTGCGACTGGGCCTAACGGTCAGGGGTCCCTTTACCTTTACCTTAGGGTCAAGAGGCAGGGAGTTCCAAAGGGCAAGTGCTGCCACAGGGAAAGACCATGCAAATAAAGAAGGAATATTATTTGGCACCTGTAACAGTGCCAATTGTGAAGTAGCCCCCCCATCTTGTGCACCCCTATTATTTTAAATTTTTATTAGTTTTTTAACATATCATTTACAACAATAATTAAACATACTTTTACATCTTATACATTTTTTAATTTTTTTTTACTTCCATCAATCCCATCTGAAAATTTTCTAATCTAATCACTTGGGAGTTGTTGTTGTTTAGTTGTTTAGTCGTGTCCGCCTCTCCGTGACCCCCTGGACCAGAGCACACCAGGCACTCCTGTCTTCCACTGCCTCCTGCAGTTTGGTCAGACTCATGCTGGTAGATTCGAGAACACTGTCCAACCTTCTCGTCCTCTGTCGTCCCCTTCTCCTTGCGCCCTCCATCTTTCCCAA